ATATTACTGTGTGCTTAGCATAGAACTAAGGGACATCTTTAGTCTCAATTGGGTGGTCACTCTTCATCAGGCCAGCAAAAGATAAAATTTTAACCCAACAGAACCTGAATTGGGCAGGCTGGATTTTATAAACCATTTGCTGTACCCACCAAATTTTTTTTTTTAGTTGCTCAGTCGTGTCTGACTTTTTGTGACCCCATGTACTATAGCTCTCCAGGCTCCTCTGTCCATGGAATTCTCCAGGCAAGAATACTGGAGTGGATGGCATTCCTTTCTTCAGGGGTTCTTCCCAACCCAGGGATCAAACCCAAGTCCCCACTGCAGGCAGATTCTTGATATCTGCGCCATCAGGGGGTCTGTATCCACCAAAGAGAGATAATGAATTCAGTATCCACTTTAGTGGTCAATGTGAGTAGGTACTTGACTCAGAGGTACCAAGTGACCATGTCCCAGAATAGAGTCAGGCCTAAGCTGAAGGGAGAACTGGGATTCACTTGTGGATCTCATTCTTACTATGTGACCTGGAGGAAAGTGCTTAGTCTCACTAAGTTTCAGTTTTCCCATCTTCAAAACTGGGAGCAATAATATCTACATTAACAGCATGACAAAGAAAAAAAAAAAAGAAATAACATTATAAAACACCTACAGAAAATAATATTATGAAGCACCTAGCATGAGTGCTAAAAACATTCTGGTATTAAATCTTGACAAAAGTGCATACACTCAGATATTTCATCTATTTTAGAAAGGAAAAAAGATACACTAGAGTTTAATATGCCTCTTCTGGGAGCAGGACGAGTGAGGTGAAGTGGAAAGGAAGGGGGCCAGCTATCCCTATAATTTAATGTCCTTAGATTCTCAAGAAAAGTACCAGTAAATTTGGTTCAACTCAATGTTAACGGAGAGAAAAAAAGAACAGACCTTCTTCACACCCTCACTAAATTACATCTAAGAGAGATTCACACAAAGTTACAGTCAGTGCTAAAATCCAGAAAGTTCTTGAACATTTTAAAAATTGTTTTCATATATAAATTTGATGGCAAAATGAGTCCTAAACTTGAGGAGCTTCCCTCACAGCTCAGTGGTAAAGAGTCAGCCTGCCAATCCAGGAGACATGGGTTCAATCCCTGTTCCAGGACGACCCTATATGCCGTTGCTCAACTAAGCCCATGGGTCACAAGCCCGGGAACCACAAGAGAACCACTGCAGTGAGCAGCCCAGAGCCCGTGCTCTGCACAGCCAGAGAAAAGCCCACACAGCAATGAAGACCCAGCACAGCCAAAAATAAACAAACTATTTTTAAAAAGGAGTCCTAAACTTGAACTGGCTGGGGCTTCCTGGTCATTCTTGCATTGAACATAAATACTGATGAATTGTATACAAGTTTCATTATGCAGTAAGGTCCCAAATCATCCTGGTGATGTGATATAATGTATGACATACAGCAGTAACTTCTAAAAATACGCAGTAATCAGAATTCCGACATATATGTAGCCCAAGAATTTCAAAGAAGAAAATCTCACCAGTTGAAACAACCACATTACTTACAACATTGAGTTCATGGAGAAGCAAGACATAATACATATAAAAAGCTTTAAACAATGTCTTGCACAAAGTGAGTAGCCAATAAATGTTATGTCTACAAGTACCTAGAAAAAACACTTTGAACATTGACATGGAAAGGCAACAGGTAAATGGGTAGTCCACTATAAACCATACGGTACTTTAGAACTTTTTAAAAAAAATCTAAGAGTTTCCCTCCTCCTATACTCAGATGTATTTCTACTATCAAGCCTCAGAAATGATGTTAGCACAAGTCATGAAGGCAGGAAGCAATCTCAGGTGAGCCAACAAACATTTGAAACTGACAGTGTGGTAAGGTCTGAAGTTCTAAATACAATAAATGTTACTTTAAAAAAAAATCAACTATGAATGACTGGAGAACAGACTAGAAGAACGCTTTTGGAAATTAACATACAAACTAACGGGCCAGAGTTTTTGCTAAAATGCAGATTCTGACTTAATGTGGCAGGGCCAGATGTTTTGTATTCAAGATCTCTGGTTATCAAAACTCTACCGGTTTAGAAACCCAAAGAGAATAAGAAGACCCTTAGCAGTGGTCCTCAAAGTGTACAAGCAACATCAGAATCTCTTGAAAAATTATTAGAAATGCAAATCTTAAAGAATATAAGGAGAATATTCTCTAAATTATCTGTTTACATACAGACAGATTAATTTCTCTGAGAATTGTCATTTAGTCATTAAGTCGGGTCTGACTCTTTGTGGCCCCATGGACTGCAGCATGCCAGGCTTCCCTGTCCTTCACTATCTCCCTGAGTTTGCTCAAACTCAGGTCCACTGAGTCAGTGATGCCATCCAATCATCTCATCTCTGTCGTCCCCTTCTCCTACCTTCAATCTTTCCCAAGATCAGGGTCTTTTCCAATGAATCGGCTCTTTACACCAGGTGGCCAAAGTATTGAAGCTTCAGCATCAGTCCTTCCAATGAATATTCAGGATCGATTTCCTTTAGGATAGGCTAGTGTGATCCACTTGCTGTCCAAGGGGACTCTCAAGAGTCTTCTCCAACACCACAATGAAAAATCATCAATTCTTCAGTGCTCAGCTTTCTTCATGGTCAAACTCTCACATCCATACATGGCTCCTGGAAAAACCATAGCTTTGACTAGACAGATCTTTGTCAGTAAGGTGATGTCTCTGCTTTTGAATATGCTGTTTAGGTTTGTCATAGCTTTCCTTCCAAGAAGTAAGGGTCTTTCAATTTCATGGCTGCAGTCACTGTCTTCAGTGATTTTGGAGCCCAAGAAAATAAAATCTGTCACTGCTTCCACTTTTCCCCCTTCTATTTGCCATAAAGTGATGGGACCAGATACCATGATCTTGGTTTTTTGAATGCTGAGTTTTAAGTCAGCTTTTTTACTCTGTTTTCACCCTCATCAAGAGGCTGTTTAGTTCTTCCTCACTTCTGTCACTAAGGTGGCAATATCTGTGTATCTGATGTTATGGATATTTCTCCCTGCAATCTTGATTCCTGCTTGTGATTCATCCAGCCTGGCATTTTGCATGGTGTACTCTGCCTATAAGTTAAATAAGCAGGGTGATAATATATAGACTTATCATACTCTCTTCCAAATTTTGAACCAGTCCGTTGTGCCATGTCTGGTTCTAACTGTTGCTTTTTGACCTACATACAGGTTTCTCAGGAGACAAGTAAGGTGGAAAAGTAGAATACTAGAACATATTAACTAAATAAAACAATTTCTCTCTGCAAACAATTTCCAAAACTAAAGCCCCTGCAATTATACTTAAAATGTAGGCTTTTACATGATAAAGCCTGCTGTTGATAATAATATATAGGTGAAGTACTGAAATGTGTAGAACCCTCACTGAACCATTTACCCACTCCTTGCAAGATAGATCAGTTCCATTTTACGTAGGTAATAGAGATAAGACTTTGTAAAGAAACCAAACTCAGTTTTTAATTTCCTTCTGTTGAGAATATAACGAACTACATCAAGGTTTAGGCAACTTCTCCAGAGTCATGTTTATACATTGCCTGACTCATATGTAAATATATGTCAACATTTTGATTTATAGCTATAGATCATCTGTTTGCATACACACAGATGCCCAAATCATTATATTAATAGTTTGAAACACAATACTGTTAAAGCACAAAAAAAGATAAAATACAAATACAGAATGTCACACATAGAGAAGAGATTTCAGTTTTCTGAATGTGAAGCCAGATGATTGCCAAGTAGGCTTTGCATAAAATAAGATTTTTTTAAAAAATGTTGTTTTCACAATTCCCACTCAGCTTTTTATTTTTTTTCAACTTTAATCAAGGTCACATCTCAGTCAGTATCTGAGTACATCATTCTGTCCTTAATCTAGTTTTGAAGGAGTAAATTACAAACAGATTGTCAAGTACCACACTTGCTTCAGTATTCGGGGTGGGCCCCTCTGATTTTGGCTAGGACCATATACACACATACACAAAAACAACAACAGTGCTGTCCGGAGACAAATGATGGTCACAGCGGGGGAAGGGAGGGAGAGTAGAGTGCCGCTGGCATCTAGGAAGTAGAGATCATGCAACTACTATGATGCCAAAAACAGTTCCCTGAACAAAGAAGTACCTGGCCTAAGATGCCAATAGTGCCGAGGTTAAGAAACTGTGATGTAAACTATGGAGGTTGCAAAAATACAGAATGAACACATCTCGTGCATCATCATTACATTCCCAGCACAGTGTCAAGCACATTTAATAAATATTTATTGATTATGAAATAAACCACTTCTGTGGTTTATTGTCATTGTCAAAACTAAAAGGAATTAAAAATCATTCAGACCAATTTCTCTTTTTCAGAAAAATTTTTCTCTGGCAAAAGATGTTGTCTAATGTAATGTGTTGGCAGTGTTGAGAGGAGATAGTTTTCTGAATAAAAACAAAATACATTTACAAATTAAAATGTCAGTTTTCACTTCTAAAATGTCAACATCACCTACTTTTCTCAGATTAATAAAATATTTCCTTCATAAAAGTTAAACCAATGTAACATAAAGCATGTATGATAGTTGCTCAGTCGTGTCCAACTCCGCGACCCCACGGACTGCTGCCCACCAGGCTCCTCTGCCCATGGAATTCTCCAGGCAAGAATACTCGGGAGGGTTGTCATTCCCTTCTCCAGGGGATCTTCCCAACCCAGGGACTGAACCCAGGTCTCCCACATTGCAGGCAGATTCTTTACTGTCTGTGTTACCAGGGAAGCCCCAGCATAAGTCATAATAAGTGATATTTCAAAGCAGGAAGTAAGATAAATGTCATTATTTTTCAAAAAAAAAAAAAATCACAGACCTCCCTGGTCTACAGGATTTATATTTCTGAGAAGTCAGGGCTTTAAATCGCCATAAGAAATTCTGAAGTGGCTTACGGTTTTGAAACACAGGAACTGACAGTCACAAGGCCAAACATACCCTTAATAATCGATTCAGCTGCATACAGATCTCGTTTGTAGGTCACCTATAGATTTAACAGAGTAGAAAGGAATGTTAAAGCAATAAAATAATGCCCCCAAGGAAATTCTTGATTTTGGAGAAACCATAAACACACAACACTGACAAGTTTTAAATTATAACAACATCAGTTTATTCAGAAAAAAATATATTTTGCTTCTACAAATGCTTGAAGACCTGTTTTTAAATCTTTAAGTAAATTAATATGTTGTATGGCAGTTGTTACCAAAGTCTTATTAATGTAAGTATCATATCAAAAAAAAATGTGGTAGCACTTACATATAAGTATTAGAATTACTGTTTAATAGTAAGGTTTTTTGTGGGAGGAAAGAAGGAAAAGAATATATTTTAAAAATTACCAAATTGCATGTTCAGTTGAAATGAGATGATTCTCAAAGACCAATTCACAGTGAGGGTCTTCCTTCTGAATTGAGTTTATCTGTGTACCCCCAGATAAGGCTCACCTTTCTAATATTTTTATTAATTCGTGACTGACAGAGAGAGCCTGGAGGCTACCACCATGAATGTAAGAACAATCATGACCTTTGCTTAAGAACAAACAGCCTCTTTGCAATTATAACTGATTCCTTGTATATAACCTGCCATGGTTCTACAGCAGATAGTTCTCAGGCCACATGCAGTGAGCTCAGGTACAGAGCATGTCAGATGCACTGCACTGCAGAACTGCTTTTCCTTCCTCACAGAACTGAAGAAGAGTAAATAATTAAATCTATTAGTAAGTACTCTAGGGTCTTAGGAGCTTATCATTCAAGTGCTCAGATGATTATGATGCCAGTGTCTCAAAACCCACTTTAATAATTAATACCTTTTCATATCAATAATTTGGACAATTTTTCTCCAGATTATCTCCAAACTAAACTTGTACAAAAACTGTTCAGCTAAGTGGTTCACAGCACTTCTTTCTACCCAAATAGTTTCCCTGCTATGCCTAGATCCTGGCAGGTAAACCACCCTGGCCCAAAATCTATATCTTACAACTCAGAACTAATGTAGTAGCTGACTTGTATGACAAATGGAAATTTCCTCAAGTAGTCAACCAATCTATTAAAATCAAGTATGACATTGTTAAATTATCTCTAAAACAAGCAATGCCAACCAAAACCAGTACTATAGTTACTGATCCAAAATACAGCTCTATTATCTGGGGGAAAAAAAGTAGAAAATAGACACTTAAAGCTTCAGACTATGCATTTTACCAAATTAAAGACTGTATTGATCTCATTCACTCATTCAATAAATATTTCTCAAATACTGCCACATCACAGGTCCTGTTCTAATGGCTAGAATAGAGCGATGAACACAGTGAGAAAAACTCAACCTGCAGAAACAACATTTTAGGGATACACTTTTTTTAGAAGAATTGAATAAAATATATTTGTTTCCATGAAAACCCAAAGTTAACTAGACAGCTGAAATCAGCACTCAATATTTGCAATTTAGATGAGAAAAGGTTTTTTTTTCCCTTTAACTGCCTGCTATGTAAGGTAAACTCAAAACAGTAATTAATGGAAAGATGCCTAATTACTATAGCTGGTTTTTCATTCCTTCCTGCTTTCTTTGAGGAATATAACTGCATTCCAAATTTAAACAGAATAATTATGAAAGTGCTTTATTCTTTTTTCAATTAAATCTATCTTAACAATGGGGTTTTTAAAATAAAGAAAACTTGGTCTCAAATACTAAAATGACTTTTCTAGCATACTTGCAAGACAATGCTTATGCACTGAAATCAGTCTTAAGAATAAATATATATGTATTACTACCCAAAGGTCCTTGGGTACTACACTAATATTCAAAAAGAAACGATATACAGACAGCTAAAATTCTTTCTTTTTTTTTTTCTGGCTACACTGCACAGCTTGCAGGATGTTAGCTCCTCAATCAGGGATTGAACCTGCACCGTCAGCAGTGACAGTGGAGTGGAGTCCTGACCACAAGACTGCCAGCAAATTCCCCTAAAATTTGAATTTTTTTTTTTTTTTTTGGTCTACATTTTCCTATTGGCTATCAGTTCAATTCAGTCGCTCAGTCATGTCCAACTCTTTGCAAACCCCATGGACTGCAGCACACCAGGCTTCCCTGTCCATCACCAACTCCCAGAGCTTGCTCAAACTCAGGTCCATTGAATCAGTGATGCCATCCAAACATCTCATGATCTGTCACCCCCTTCCCCTTCGACCCTCAGTCTTTCCCATCATCAGGGTCTTTTCTAATGAGTCACTTCTAGGGAGGAGGGGGACACAATTCAACCCCCAGCACCATCTGTGAAATGACTCGGCAAGGGAATGAAGAGAAGCACTTGGAAAGGCCAGCTTCCACTCAGTCCACTGACATTTGTCGCACATACAATGGAAGTAAGCTCCAAGGTGTGAGGACTAAAACTGTGATTCTGTGTTGCTGGTGGAAGCAGTGAAATTTGAGATTTAACACAAAAGACACTGAAATACATCTGTGGAGTGAGTGGAAAATGCAAAGAGCTTTCCTTCTACCTGAAGACCTGAGGGTGCTTCATACATTTAAAGAAGGCTCAGAATACCCATGAGAAACAGATAATAACACAGCCCCCTCAAAAAAATGAGCAAAGAGGCCAGAGGGTGTTGACATGTTAGTAGCAATAAATGTCTTGAGGTTTCGTTTATTTATTTTTAACATAGCCTGTAAATTAAGTTTAGCAGATCTGTAGTGATGTGAGTCAGGATCTTTCACAAAACACCTGATTGGTAATTATCCAAATCCTCCCAATGAATATGTGTATCACCATCTGTCATATACAGAAAAAAATAAAAATAATAAAATGTTGACCTGATGGATTAATGACATTTAGAAACTCTTACAAGAGCAATAATACTGCATTAATTTTCTCCACCAGGCAATAAATCAGGCATGTCAATATCCTGTAATCTTGTAAGAATTTAAGTATGTATGAGACAATCTTAGCATGTAGCAAGGCCCATCACAGGACTGTACAAAATACCTAACACATAGGGCTTCTTTTTGTTTTTATGTCAATGAAGAAATATGCTTTTGGATTCATATTAGCTCAGAATTAGGATGAATGTTTACTAGCCAAATTTAGATGGATGCTTTATAAAGATTTCATCCACTATTTCCAAAGGAGCAGTACTTGTTCAAAATTACGATATGACCCTACAATTCTATTTCAGAATACATTGTTCCGTTTACCACATTTCTACCCAATGAAACATAGGTGAGTCACGCTGCATAGGAACATGCAGTATGATAATGCTACAACCACTTCATTCCTCCTAAAGAAAGAAGTCTGTCATGAAACCAGTCAAGCCTGACCACAGGAAAGAGCACAATGCCTCTTGGAGGTGGTGAGTTCTTCCAGGCGCCAGGCCTACTGGGTCAAAACTACTGCAGATATGTGCTTCAATAACACATTGAGTTGGAGCTACCATCCTCGGGACTGAGAGGAAATGTTGCGGTGAGAAGCAGAGTGGTGCCCTCAGTCCAGCTGAGAGTACGGCTGCACAGTAAAACATTACATGCCAAGAACATACACAAAAGTTGTCAACAAAACAGTCTTACTGGCTAAATGGGATCTGTTTGAGTAAACTATCCCAACATGAATTTTCTTGCAACCGAGCAACAGAAATGATACCATAATTTGATGGATCAGAAAACCCACTGAGACTCTTAACACCTTTAATGTATATGTACACACATACTTTTATTCCTGGAAATACTGTTTCAATATGAAGCCAAATGTTTTCAAACTTCTCTATTTTCTAAAGCACCTGGAAAATGTCAGTACTTGCAGAGTATGTCTTCAGGAATGACACATCAACACAGAGGTAAGTACCAACTTCTTTACCTTCCAGAGGTCAGGGGATCCTTCCACAAGTTTTGCTTTGATATGACTGTATTTTAGAGCCAAATGCAAACACTCAGTTCCAAATTCCAAGTCATAGTCACTACACTGGATAGGAAGAAAAAAGAATTAAGAAGTTAAAATATAATATTAAATAATCTTTCAATTTCATAATCAACTGCATATAGAAAAGAGCCTAGAGGATTCACAAACTCTCTAATTAGCTACTGATTAATCAAGTTAGATTAATCATCTTCATGCCCTAAAAGCCAAATGAAACCAATAAAAAATAGAAATGTTGCAATCATGTTTTTAACTTCCTGAATAGTTTCGGTGAAAGTTGCTCAGTCATTTCTGATTCTTTGAGACCTCAGACTTTAGCCCACCAGGCTCCTCTGTCCATTGGAATCTCCAGGCAAGAATACTGGAGTGAGTAGCCATTCCCTTCTCCAAGGGATCTCCCCAACCCAAAGATTGAACCTGGGTCTCCGACTTTGCAGGAAGATTCTTTACCGTCTGAGTTCAGATGTCAGATAAATACAAAACTTTATTTCCTTTGCTCAAAAGCTACATTTCCAAACATATTTGTAAAATACCTAAAGGTATGACGGAGGATTACCATATCAGAACTTAATTTAACAAATATACCTATCCATAAAACCCCAAATCTCTTATATTTATACCAAAACACTGGCAGGTCACATCTTTCTTGATATCTTAAATAACAGATCTTTTTAGATGATATATTTTGATTCTGAACATGGAACTATATCAGTCTTCCATTATGAGGGGGAAAAAAAGTGAATGTCTATCATATTTAATAAAATATAAACAACATTTTTTAACATTTCAGGCAGAGCCATCCAAATGACCAACATAACACAATTAAATGATGGTCACTGGGTATCTATCATGTCCAAGGTTTGTTTTAAGTACCAGCATATAAAGATAAATAAGACATGTTTTGTGACCTCAAGGAACTCAGGTTTAAAAGAGGTTGATAATATAACAAATATTTTTTAACAATGTGATAGATGGAGCATTAGCAGAATATTTACAAGTAGACCAGGAGATACAGTTTTTAATTCTATGTAAGGGTACTAGGGAAGCCCCATTAGAGGAAATGGTCTCTGATATCATTCTAAAGACTTAATAGGGACTTTCCTGGTGGTTCAGTGGCTAAGACTCCACACTCCCAATGCAGGTCCCCTGAGTTCAATCCCTGGTCAGGGAACTAGATCCCACATACTGCAACTAAGACTTGGCACAGATAAATAAATGAATAAATATTTTTTAAAAATAAAATAAAGACTGAATAAAACTCAAGGATAGGAATACCTTTCAGGAAAAAACTGCCCAACAAAGATACAGACATTGCAGACATCTGCTGGATTTGCATTTTACCAACAGCACAGCCAAGACTTACCTGGTGGTTCAGATAGTAAAGAATCTGCCTGCAATGCAGGAGACCAGGGTTCAATCCCTACATTGGGAGATCCCCAGAGAAGGAAAAAGGAACCCACTCTAGTATTCACGCCTGGAGAATCCCATGTTGAGAGGCAACTGGTGGACTACAGTCCATGGGGTCACAGAGTTGGACATGACTGAGAAAATAACACACACACAAGAGCATATCCATATAAGACAGACTGCAGCGAGGCAATAAATATGAATGTGACATTTAGAACCATTTGCCAATCTTTACTTTATGGAAATTACAAAACCTACATTTTACTGATTTGTGAAGTTAATAATATAACAAGAAAATATAACCATAACTATATATACCATGGGTATATATAGAGTCCCAAATTAACCAGAACTGTTTCAGTTTAAACCGCTATTCTTATAAACATAAAATGACATTTTTAAGAAATGTCATGATATGTCCAATATATGATATAACATGACATTGAAGAAATTTAAGAAATTCCATCTTTAATATAGTATTATCAACACTTCAGTTCAGTAGCTCAGTCAGGTCCAACTCTTTGTGACCCCATGGACTGCAACATGCCAGGCTTCCCTGACCATCACAAACTCCCAGAGCTTACTCAAACTTGTGTCCATCCAGTCAGTGATACCATCCAACCATCTCATCCTCTGTCATCCCCTTCTCCTCCCACCTTCAATCTTTCCCAACATCAGGGTCCTTTCCAGTGAGTCAGTTCTTCCCATTAGGTGGTCAAAGTATTGGAGTTTCAGCTTCAACATCAGTCCTTCCAATGAATATTCAGGAATGATTTCCTTTAGGATTGACTGGTTGGATCTCCTTGCAGTCCAAGAGACTCTTGAGAGTCTTCTCCAATACCATAGTTCAAAAGCATCAATTCTTCAGCACTCAGCTTTCTTTATAGTCCAACTCTCATATCCATACATGACTACTGGAAAGACCATAGCTTTGACTCGACAGACCTTTTTTGGCAAAGTAATATCTCTGCTTTTTAATATGCTGTCTAGGTTGGTCATAACTTTTCTTCCAAGGAACAAGCGTCTTTTAATTCCATGGCTGCAGTCACCGGCTGCAGTCACCATCTGCAGTGATTTTGGAGCCCAACAAAATAAAGTCTGTCACTGTTTCCATTGTTTCCCCATCTATTTGCCATGAAGTGATGGGACCAGATGCCATGATCTTAGTTTTCTCAATGTTGAGTTTTAAGCCAACTTTTTCACTCTCCTCTTTCACTTTCATCAAGAGTCTCTTTAATTCTTCACTTTCTAGCATAAGGGTGCGGTCATATGCATATCTGAGGTTATTGCTATTTCTCCCAGCCATCTTGATTCCAGCTTGTGCTTCATCCATCCTGGCATTTCACATGATGTGCTTTGCATATGAGATAAATAAGCAGGGTGACAATATACAGCCTTGATGTACTCCTTTCCTGATTTGGAACCAGTCTGTTGTGGAATGTACAGTTCTAACTGTTGCTTCTTGACCTGCATACAGATTTCTCTGGAGGCAGGTCAGGTGGTCTGGTATTCCCATCTCTTGAAGAATTTCCCACAGTTTGTTGTGATCCACACAGTCAAAGGGTTTGGTACAGTCAATAAAGCAGAAGTAGATGTTTTTCTGGAACTCTCTTGCTTTTTCAATGTTCCAATGGATGTTGGAAATTTGATTCTTGGTTCCTCTGCCTTTTCTAAATCCAGCTTGAACATCTGGAAGTTCACAGTTCATGTACTGTTGAAGTCTGGTTTGGAGAATTTTGAGCATTACTTTGCTAGTGTATGAGATGAGTGCAATTGTGTGGCAGTTTGAACATTCTTTAGCATTGCCTCTCTTTAGGACTGGAATGAAAACTGACCTTTTCTAGTCCTGTGGCCACTGCTGAGTTTTCCAAATTTGCTGGCATATTGAGTGCAGCACTTTCACAGCATCGTCTCAGGATTTGAAATAGCTCAACTGGAATTCTATCACCCCCAATACCTTTGTTCATAAATGCTTCCTAAGGCCCACTTGACTTTGCATTCCAGGATGTCTGGCTCTAAGTGAGTGATCACACCATTGTGGTTATCTGGGTCATGAAGATATTTTTTTATATAGTTCTTCTGTATATTTTTGCCACCTCTTCCTCATATCCTGTGCTTCTATTAGGTCCATACCATTTCTGTCCTTTATTGTGCCCATCTTTGCATGAAATGTTCCTTATCTCTAATTTTCTTGAAGAGGTCTCTAGTCTTTCCCATTCTATTGTTTTCCTCATTTCTTTGCATTGATCACTGAAGAAGGCTTTCTTATCTCTCCTTGCTATTCTTTGGAACTCTGCATTCAAATGGGTACGTCTTTCCTTTTCTCCTTTGCCTTTAGCTTCCCTTCTTTCCTCAGCTATTTGTAAGACCTCCTCAGACAACCATTTTGCCTTTTTGCAATTCTTTCTCTTGTGGATGGTCTTGATCATTACCTCTTATTCAATTTCCCGAACCTCCATCCATAGTTCTTCAGGCACTCTGTCTACCAGATCTCATCCCTTGCATCTATTTGTCACTTCCACTGTATAATCGTAAGAGATTTGATTTAGGTCATACCTGTAGCTACATACAAGTAAATTATGCTTTAGTAAACTTTACCTGTCTCCTGAGAAACCTGTATGTGGGTCAAGAAGCACGAGTAACAACTGGACATGGAACAACAGAGCATTTCAAAATTCGGAAAGGAAAAAAAAAATTCAGAAAGGAGTATGTCAAGGCTGAATATTGCCACCCTGTTTATTTAACATATAATTATATGCAGAGTACATCATGAGAAATGCTGGGGTGGATGAAGCACAAGCTGGAATCAAGACTGCAAAGAGAAATATCAAAAACCTCAGATATGCAGATAATACCACTCCAATGTCAGAAAGCAAAGAGGAACTGAAGAGCCTCTCGATGAGGATGAAAAAGGAGAGTGAAAAACCTAGCCTGAAACTCAACATTCAAAAAAACTGAGATCATGGCATCTGGTCCCATCACTTCATGGCAAATAGATGGGGAAACAGTGGAAGAAGTGACACATTTTATTTTCTTGGGCTCCAAAATCACTGCAGATGGTAACCACAGCCATGGAATTAAAAGAAGCTTGCTCCATGGGAGGAAAGACATGACAAACCTAGACAGTATGTTAAAAAGCAGAGACATCACTTTGCCAACAAAGGTCCTTACAGTAAAAGCTATTGTTTTTCCAGTAGTCATATAGAGATGTGAAATTTGGACCATAAAGAAGGCTAAGTACTAAAGAACTGATGCTTTTGAATTGGGGTACTGTAGAAGACTCTTGAGAGTCCCTTGGACTACAAGATCAAACCAGTCTATCCCAAAGGAAATCAACCCTAAATATTCATCAAAAGGGTTGTTGCTGACGCTCCAATACTTTGGCCACCTGATGTGAAGGGCTGACTCATTGGAATAGACCCTGATGCTGAAAAAGACTGAAGGCAAAAGAAGAAGGAGCCAGTAGAAGATGGGATGGTTAGATAGCATCACCAACTCAATGCATATGAATCTAAGCAAACTTTGGGAGATGGTGAAGGACAGAGAAGCCTGGTGGGCTGCAGTACATGGGGTGGCAAAAAGTTGGACATGGCTTAGCACCTAAACAACAACAACAAAACCTCCACAGTCTATTAATA